AAAGAGTGTATGATTCTCTTGATGTCGCAAGTGATTTTTCTTTTTGGGGGCATTAAGGGCTAACAAGCCCAAAAACTACAAACTTCTAATAAAACAAGCCGCTAATAAATCAGCAAACAAAGAAAAGTGGATCCACCAGGCTGGAGTATAAAAAAATGCATTCCTAATAGCATCACACCATGTTTTTTGTAAGATATCTGCATTTTGATTTGTTTCCCTGTAGATATGATAAGATAATCCTATGATATAATCATAATTTTTTTTTATTATGTACAAAAAATCTTCCAATCACAATAACGTGAATAAAATCAATCTGAATAAACCTAAACATGAAAAAAACTTTTTCTAATGAAAATTTAAGTTGTTGAGGCAATCATATATTTGAATTTCCAACATTGTTAGAAAGTTTTTTTGTTAATAAATTTTAATTTTATAATTCACATGTTAAAAAATATTTGTGTATTATAAAACTTAAGCTTAATAAATTAGTAGATTCTTCGAATATTTAGGAATTTGTAATTAAGTTCTTAAATTAAGAGAAATATAATTAAATAAATGGTCTTTTATAATATTTGTAATTAATTCTACAAAGTTAATAAAATTGTCATAAATTATTTTTTTGGGGAAGTTTCAGATTGTTATTAACTATTTACAAAATTATTAAATCAACCTAATTACACTTTTTCCTTAAAAAAAGTCAGGATCTGGTTTTTTCCGTATAAAATGGAAAACTGGGAGACGCGACGCAAGGTCTAGCTTTTTTCCTTGTATCAGCGTCGGGGCAACGCAAAATCAAGACGCGAACATATTCCGCTAAATTGAATTGAAGGCCGAAAAAAGAAGAGAGAGAGAGAGAGAGAAGGCAAAAAAGCAAGAGTGCAACAGAGTAAAGAGATGGGTGTGACGAAAGAACAAGTTGAATCAACCTTGAAGGCCAAACTGAACCCTTCTCATCTCGTAAGCCTTTTCTTCTCTTTCAATTTCTTATGTACTTCGCTCAAACCCAACATCAACATGTGACTCACTCTGTCTTCCATCTCTCACATGTGCTTGTTTTTCTCTCATGCTTCATTCCTAAAGTCTATACCTTTTCATATTAGGTATTAATGCGCATTTCTTTTGCACATATGCTGCTGGCCCCATCTTATTTTTTTCAGTTCTACGTTATAATTAATCTTTGTTCAGAGTTTACCCAATTCAGGGCTCTTCAAGTTGCGCATTCGATTCAGTTATCCTTTCCACCCAAATCCCAAAATTGTTTTGGTATGTAAAAACTGCTTCTTTCAGTGCTTTTGTATAGAAGCTAAACAATAAATACTTTCTGCTCGAAATAAAGCTTTACGCAAAAGGACTCCCGTTTTGAGCTTTTTAAGCAGTGAAACATGATTCGTTGCTTTATCCAGAGAACCACAAATTGGTTTGTGGGTAGCAATTCATGGTTAATTTAGAATTGGGTCATTCCCATTCTTGTTTCGATTTATGTAAATAACTGTAGAAGATGAGATAGTTAGGAAGGGCCATGATATTGGGAAAAAAACTAAAACTATCCCGCCTAGACCCTTAAAAAGTGTCATCCACCATTTATTAACTCACCAATTCAACACTGTTGACGTGAAGAAGTGTATTGAAAAAAATCTAAATCCTTTGTCAATTAGAGATAAGGCTAACAAAAAGTATATAAGTAGGAGAAAATCATTACTTTACAAGACAGTTTATAAGTTGAAGAATGATAGAGAAATAATTAAGAAACCCTTGCATCACAAGGTAAGTACAAAAACAAACCACCACAAACCCAAAGCATTCTACTCTCCAGTATAGCCCCAAATATTTCATACATGGGAAAGTAACATACTGCATATTCAAACCAGTAACACATACCAGAGTATTGTTAATTCTCAAGCTACTAAAATTCGTCTCTTTGGCTGTGTGGTTTCTTTTTGACAGGGTTATACCACTTTGTTCTTGTGCTGTGCTCCTTTAAATGGACTTAAACATTTTTTGTTCTAAGTTATTTCCTTATCTAATTGCAATCTTTTATAGATATCAAAGAGTTGCTGACATAGAGTCTCTTCTCCTACTAGGATTATTGGCTTACTTATTTATTTTAATGGTGTGACAATACATGGTTGACGATGCTTCTAGTTATCTGTTGGATCTTGATTATTTAGATAATGCATTGGAATTTTACTCGGTCTAAAATTCTCATGTTCTATATGGTACTTATTGTTATCTAAGACTCAGAAATCCATATAACAATTTTGGAATTTCCTTCGACAGACAGAGTGAATTATGCGGTGATAGTGATCTTAAATTTGATAGGGTTACCAACATTGTAGTTTGCTTCATTATAAAAGTTTCTTTTGGGATTATTAATGGATAGCTTCCCACTTGCATGTCACATGGTGTGTATATGTTAAAAAAGGAACTTTATCTGTATTAAATGTGAAAGGCTTATTTATAAGGGTTTAGGGATTGTCTGTTAATTCTAATCCTCCATTTAAAAGTTTCATAGTTTGCCTTTAATTCATGAGTTACGTGTAACATAACAAATTGTATGCACCAAACATAAAATTTGCTAAGTTCATGGTTGTACTCTGCCCCACTTTTTATTCAATTCTGTGTTCTTATTTTATTGTATTTTGTTTCAGGAAGTAAATGATACATCAGGAGGGTAAGTTCTTTTTCCACTAATAGACCTTGTGTTCTCTACTTTATAGCTCTGTTAACTTCCTTTTCAATTTTACGATCTTATAATTTTCATGCTGTGGCTATTAGGTGCGGTGCAAGTTTTGTCGTCGAGATTGTATCAGAACAATTTGAGGGCAAAAGGCTACTGGAGAGGCATCGTATGGTGAATGCTGCCTTAGAGGAGGAAATGAAAGAGATTCATGCTCTCTCTATAAAGAAGACTCTTACCCCAGATCAGTGGAAACAACAGCAAGAATCCAACCAATCAAATTCTGCTGCGTAGAGCATATGTTTCGTTTATAATAATAGTTATAAATAAGAAATGCATACAATGTGTTGCTGACAGTTGACATTGTTTGTGGATTCTAGTTCTATGTACTTTTATCAACACTCAAATTTATAATTGTACTACTAAATTTTAGTTCACAAAATTTCTGGCTTTCCATAAGTTATTTTATGATATGCGAGTGTGACCCTCTGTGGGTAGGAACTTTTAAATCAACTATACGTTGTCGGGCGGATGGAAACTTTCAAATCATAAATCATGTATATTTTTTAGTTTTTTTCCGCCTTTAAGTAGTTGAAACCTACGATCGCATAAATCACCAAAGTCATATGCGAACTCGATCAATACATAAATGTCCTGAACATGATCATAGTGTTGCACACGTCATGAAAAGCTAAAGCTAGTATTGAAACTATATTGCAAGGTTGAGTTAAATTTTTAATTTATTTTTTTTAGATGATATTAGGACCTATATTTTAATAATTATTGATTATTGTTAGGTTTATTGTGTCATTTATTATTAAATCTTTATTGAATCACTCACGGATATTATTAGTTTTACAAATTTTATATTCGAAATGTTCAATTTTTATTATATGAAAGATATGTTAAAGATTTAACATCGTTTAAAAATAAAATTATAATATGTATATAAGTGGAAAATAATTTGTATTTTTTTAGTTAATTTTATAAGACTAGGTTAATTTCTAATCTACTTTGATAATTAAAGTTGATAATTTTTTAAAATGGAAACTCCACAAAGAAATGGTTTTTTCCTTTATTTTTACTACCAATAAAATAATGGTTTTCCCCTTAAGAGCAACAACCCATAAGGTATCTACTAACCGGATCTCGTGTCATTAGAATGGGAACTTCTAAACCACATGTCTCGATAGACCTATCCACACAACCTTAAATTAAAAAGCACAAGAACGTATCACAGTTTCCCTTTGCCAGAAAATTTCAGCCTAATAACTAATCAGTAAAAGACCCTTTCCGATGCTTCATCCTTCTGCCTCTCAAAGTTGATAGTTCCATCCCACCCCACGTGAAGTTTTAATGGTTAAGCTAGTGCAGCCACCAATGAGAGATTCCCACGTGAGTCCCCTCATTTGTAGAACAATGAATGTCATGAAACTTCAAAGGTTTGCCCCAGCTAGAAATCATTCAAGGTTAAACACCTCAAGATTTGGTGAGAGACCATTGTGGTTTAGACCCATCACAATTATTAAAGTTGCAGAACACAATTCTGGCTCAGGCTTGGATGAGCTTGAAACACTTGCTCAGAAGAAAATAGAGATTTACCAAGCGGTGGAAGGTACGCACTTCAATCACTTTCTTCTCCCTTTATTGTTATGAATTTAGATGCAACACTTGAGAAAGAGTATTAGGACTGAAACGGCTTGCAAACAAACATGTTTGAAGGAATCAATAGGGGAATCTTCGGAATCCCATCAGCCAAGAAATCTGAAATTGAAAGTTTGGTGAAGCAGCTAGAATCTCTGAATCCAAATCCATACCCAACTCTTGAACTTGACAAGGTAACACCAATATTCCTTCCTCATTGTTATTTAGGAGCTTTGTTATAATATGTTTTTATTATGGGTAGGTGGGTGGGTGCTGGAGGCTTGTATACAGTACAATCTCAATTTTGGGATCAAAGAGGACCAAGTTAGGCCTTAGAGACTTTATCTCATTGGATGATTTTTTTCAGACTATTGACATATCCAAGGTACAAAAGCGATGCAGTTCTCAATTTTGTACCATAATGTTTTTCATAGATTTTATTTGATAGCATTGAACATGGTTCCACTATTTCAAGCTTTATATTTTAATTTTTACGTACTGAGTTTAAACACTGGTAATGTGATTTGAAAATGGAGAGCAAAGCAGTTAATGTGATCAAGTTCAGTGCAAGAGGGTTGAGTTTGTTGTCTGGACAACTTAGTATTGAGGCCTCTTTCAAGATTGCATCCACAACAGTTAAAACTTCACTCCTTGTTTCCTCACTTTTTTCTCTCTCTCGGTAATGCATCAATTATTATGGCTTCCAAATAACTACCTAATTAGTTACTGCTTGAATTTGACAGAGGGTTGACATTAATTTCGAAAACTCCACCATCATTCCTGATCAGGTATGTTACCACATTTTTGGCTTAATTGTGACTTTGATTCTCATATCTTGATTTTAATCTTCCTTATTCCAATTATTCGCATTTGATGGCGTTCATAGTTTTTTAATGGTTGAAATTAACTTTTATACCCCAAAATCTTTCTAATATTTATCGGGAATATAATGAAAGTGGGACATGACATTAATTTGTATACATTGGCAACGAAAAGAATGTATTAATATTTAAATATAAAATTGAAATGGCTTTCATTATATTTTATACATTTTATGTTTATGTTATTTGTTCTACTGCCACTTTATATAAATCAATATCATGTCACACATCTGTTATATTTATGTTAATTATTGAACAAAATTTAGAGTGTGGGACTTAATTTTAATATTTAAAAATATATGAAGATTAAAAGCGAACAATTAGAATCATGAGAAAAATCACATAAAATAAATTATAAGGACTAAAAGTGAAATTAAGATTATTTTTCTAGGATAATCAGAATATTTACCCATAGTTAAATTATTTTTCCTCCTTGATGCACAGTTGATGAATGTATTTCGGAAAAATTATGATCTTTTGTTGGGCATCTTCAATCCAGAGGGATGGCTGGAAATCACGTATCCTAATTTTTTGATTTTTTCTTCTTCTATTGTTTTATTGGTCTTGTTTCAAGGTCCAACCCATAACAAATGGGCTTATTTTTTTCATGCTATTAATATTGATGAAACTTTTTGTGTTGTTCCTAAGCTCATTATGCCATAGATATGTTGATGATACCATGAGAATAGGAAGGGACGACAAAAGCAATATCTTTGTGCTGGAAAGATTTGATGATAATAATAACTCGTAGTCACTTTGCTTCCACTTTAATCATCAAAATTAATTAGTACGCGACGCATTTTTTTTTTATCCCTACATACTTTTTTGTTTTGAAATTTTGTTGGGCAAGATTCATTTAGGAAATATGTCGAAAATATCTTCTTATACAAATTATTAAGCCAGAAATAAACATGTTTTGCTTAAGAGAAGCACTTAATTACTGATCACTGTTGTTTTCCTACTCACAAGTGACCATGAGTAGGTTGTATTTTGAAATTTTGATGTATCAGATCAGTGGTAGCTTCCAACCCTAAGAATCTGACCTAACCTATTAGCATGTGAAATAACATCAAATTGAATCACTTTATTTATTTTTACCAACTTTATATGTAATTTTTTATATAAAAAAATATAGGTTAAAATCTTTATTTGGTCCCTTATAATATTTTTTTATTTCAATTTAGTCCCACTTTAATTTTTAGTTTCAATTTGGTCCCTAATAATTTAATTTATTGCAATTTGGGACTTCCATATAAATGATTTAAACGGAGTTAACTGTTGGCCACGTGGATGCATAGGTGGACGCTAAAGTTCATGAATACACATGGAATTAGAACGGTCCGTTCTGAAACCAGAACGGGCCGTTCTGGTTACACTATTGGTGTGTAAATTTGGCATTTGCAACGGGCCGTTCTGGTTCTAGGTGTATTCGAGGAATTTGGCATCCATCTACGTGGCATCCACCTGACATTCACGTGGCCAACAATTAATTCCGTTTTGTATTAGAGACCAAATTGAAACAAAAAATTAAAGTGAGACTAAATTAAAATAAAAAAAATATTATAAAGGATCAAATAAAGATTTTAACCAAAAAAAAAAAATATCAAATCAATAGTACTTTTTGGGCCTAAGAGTCCGGTTTGATGCAACAAGCCAAACGTTCTAATTTTGATATCTCAATTTGCTTCTAATCGAAGTGAAATTTGTTCTCTTAATTTAATATAATGGATTGTTGTCTCTTAGATTTCACGGAAGAATAAGTGATGAATTTTTATTGTATCAGTTTCACGAGATTAGAGATGGCAAAAAAAAAAAAAACACTCTGTTCATGAACATATTTGTGAATAAAACTCATAAAATTCATCGCGATAATAAATGAATAATTTAAATAAATATTTATAAATAATGGGTATAAATATTTTTCTTTTATCTATTAATAAACGGGATGTGATTAGATATAGTAATATTCATATTCGCATAAATTAGTTAAATATTTATATATTTATCTTATATTTTTTAATATTAATTTTATTATTTCAATAAAATTAACATTAGATGCAAATTTAAAAATTAATGACAGTCATTTATTTTTAATATTTCAATAAAATTAACATAAATAAGCTTAAGTTTATTTGTAATATTTTTTAAATTTTTTTTAAAAAAATCATAAATATGAATATTCATTGATACTCATGAATACATTTGTATATTTATAAAATTTGTAGATATCTATTTAATGAATAATTGTATCCGAAACAAATTTTTATTCAATAAGATGGAAACGAGTATTCTATTAGAGCATCTACAATGAGAATTGTTTATAAGTAACTTCCAATCATTTTAAATGAGTCTCATTGTACCACGTCACTCATAAGCAACTCATTATATTTTTACAATTTTTGTTCCAATGAAAATTGCTTATAAGCACCCTTACTTTTTTACAACTCATACTACACTTTTTGACACCTTACACTACACTTTTTCCAAATTTTCTGTCTATGTTCCACCTTGGATCAAATCAACTAATCATACTTCTCCATTTCAATTTTCAAATTGCTAAGCACTGTTGTTTGGAGAAACAACAAAACTAAAAAATTTAGAACTTGACTTGTCACGTAGGATGAATCTAATGGAATTTCTTATAAGTATTGTTGCTTATTTTTAAGATACACAACAAGCGCCCCCATTACAGGTGCTCTTAAGCATGCCTATGAGACCCTTTTTCATCGGCGCGAACCTATGTTTTTTCCTTGTCATTTTTTAAGTTTTGTAAAACATGTTGTTGATATATAAACGCGGAGAACAAAATCGAACAATGTGTGACTTTGAATCCTTTGAAATACTTTTGCCATACAACAAGTTATACCTGGAAATTAAAATGAAAAGGTGAAGAGCGGAGATTCAGAAAAATATTGCCGATTCTATTATTAGAAGAAGAAAAAAAGAGTTTGCTTGTCAAACCATACTTCGGAGGGAAGATAGGAATCTCGACCATTTATGAAAAACTAATGTTTGATATTGCATATTTGTGTGACAAACATGCATTTTTAGAAAAATCTACTTTCTTAACTTGTTTATAAATGATTAAGATTCTATATTATTCACTCAAAAAGTGAAATTAATTAGAAAAGGTTCTAATTCAGAAAAAAGGTTCTACTTTGAAATGAAAGCCCCAACCTAGGGTGACATCTCTTTCACGCAGAACTTTTCTTTCTTGTCAAACTGGGTAGTGAACTTAGTCTTCTGCTTTTGTAATAACTTTTATCAAACCTTATACACCATATATGTAATTAATTCTACGAAATATAACACAATTACATATCTTATCCTATATTCATAGTCTTCTCCTACAAAACTGTAGCATTATTTAACAACAACAAAAAAAATAAGACAACGGGAAAAAATGAAATCCATTCAATCATATATTATAAATATACTGTTAGTAGTATCTTGACACATCTATAATAGTAATCCTAATATACCCAAATTGTGCAGCATAAGTGTACCTAATTACTTAGAAAGGCAAGATCGGACATAGATAAACTAAAATTTAAACAGTAAGATGCATAAATAGGAAAGATCCAGGTTCATCTACACAGTTAATATGACTTTCCAAAGTTTTAATTTTGGCGCACATATATAATTAATCACCCTTCTGCATGGAAGTGCTTGTATAGGTGCAAACAAGATAATCATAAGTTCCACTTGAAATAAAAACTATCAAATACCCATTATTTACTGCACAGCGCATACTTCCAGACTCCAAAGAACAAGCCAATATATTTGTCAATTTGTGTCTCAAATAAATATGTATGAAAAAATAATGTAACAATAAATGTGTGAAATATTTCTATTTTCAACTTGCAAAAGCTTCTTTAAGCTTTTAATATGCATAGATAGCCAACTTAAATTCAAACTATGATCAACGGAGAAAATGAATTAAACTTCATTTTTAACATTTACATGTTTAAGCTGCACATTATATTTACCTAACTCAACGTCTACAGATTAATAAATGTCTACAAATTGAAATAGAATTTTCAACAAAGACAGAAATATAAACCGTATGCTCCAACCTCAACATGTTTAATCGACACCGTACCTTAGTATGTAAAATGTAATCTTGATTATTCTGATACACCAAAAAACTTCAACATCCATTAAAAATTGAAACCAATCATAGTTTACAAAGATCTTTCTTTCTTAATCCAATAGGGATATCCTTTTATTTGAACATCCAAATTATTATAGTATGTCAAAAAGTCTCGAATTACGTAAGAGTTAAAATCGAAACTAAATGAAGTTGAAAACTTCTGTTTTTTAAGAATAAATTAAAAAAGATTCTAGTATACAACTTTTAATTAAATATTTTTAATCTTAAATCCCCCCAGATCAGAAGTTTCCGTCGTAATCATATTTAAGAATTTGATATTAATTAAAATTTATAAAATAATGAAAAATTTAATTATCTTTTTATTAATTTTCAATTTTCATAAAATTTGTCACAGAGAATCAAAATAATAAATAATTATAATTTAACAGTTAAATGATTAATTCACATATTATACAACTTCATTGATAATATAATAGTTATGCAAGTTAGATTGATTTAACTTGGTTCCTTTGACACAAAACGTACTGTACACTTGTGAGAGTTAAATGACAAAATTAATTACCTGTAAATATTTTAAAATATAAAGAATTGGAAGACTTGCGGATAGAGCTGATATGACATGCATGACGAGCGGGATAAATTAAGAAAAAGCAAAGGAAAGGTTATATATATATATATATATAGTTTAAGAATGAAGAAGCAAACATAGTGCAAGTGTGATAAATGATGGGCAACACGATGTAATTATGAGGTAGCACAGCCACGTACAGCAACGACTATGGGGTCTTCTTTTCCATTCCCTTCAGCATGACATGACACCTCTACTATGCTCCCTTCATCACATATATTTGTTTTTGCCGTCTAATTAATTTCTTTAGCTATACAAAACAAGATTCAACTATAGATGAAAGACGCCTTCAACACCAAAAACACTAGGTCAAACAAAAACAACAAATTTCAATTCATTTTTTTAGTTTATACCCCCTAAAAAATACACTATCGATTTGTTTAATAATATTTATTAATTGGTTAGAATTTTAATATATTATTTTTTTTATTTTACATTAACAAATTTATAATATATAAATAATTTAAAAAACATGAACCATATTGTAATTAAATGGGGTTGATTAAAAGAGAACTTTAAAGTTATGTTTAGTTTTCCACTGAAAAGATAATACATGTGTTACGAATCATAAAATGTAAATATGTTTATATATATAGTTTATGCTAAAAGTACCTACAAGCTGGTAGATACCTGACTAAAAGATTCGGTTTAGTAAGCCAAGTCAAATGAATTGACAATCCAACTTCTCCTAATGCATAAGGAAAATTCCAAATTACCAAAAGACACTTAGGTACAGAAAAAATCTCCAACAAATTGAGAAGATCTTAACTCCAAATAAATAAGAAAAAGAAAATGACAAGTCTAATGGTAACAATCGATGACATAGGGTAACAGAATCAAATATTTGTTAACTTCAATTATTAAAGTTTTAAATTTTTTTGATGGAACTGCCAATGGTTATGGTTCAACGTCCGAGTGCTGTATATATTTTATTTTGAGTTCTATTTCACTTCAACAGCTCCCCTCAATGTCAGTAACAGAGACCCGCTCAGAAAGAAAGATCGATCAAAAGTAATCTAAAGCAAAATAGATTGTTTGTTTTTAATAATATATAATTAAAACAATAGATATTTAAATAATAGGACATTAAGACTAATTCTTTTGAAGCTTACATATTAACCAACTGAGTTTTATTTTTTTCAACAAACTCTTTTATGTACATTTGACTTTTACATTTATAAATTCAATTACTCTTATGTGTCCTCTAACTATAAAAAAAAAAAAAAGAATTCTTAATTTTCATCATTTTTAATTATAATTTACTGATAAAAAACAAAAATTATAATTTTAACATACTTTGTACTATAGTTTTAAAAACCAGACCGGTCATCGAACCGGTTAAGGTATTGGGTCAGTGGGTCAAAGGTTGAACCGGTGGGTCACTGGTTGAACCGCATGACTCGATTTTTATTTATTTTTATTAAAAAATATTCATATTAAATATATTTATACTTATAAATTTTAATAAATTCATATCTTATTTTAAATTTAAAATTTTCTATCTTATTTAAAATTATTTTTATTTTTATTTTGTAAAAAAATACATAAAAAAATTACATGTTAAACGGTATATTAATACAAATTAAAAATATAAATAATATGTACATATATAATATGCTTGCAATTAATATCACAAAATAATATATGTAATATTTACATAGATATTGGATTATTAAATATATAATTTAAAATTAATAATATACTATAAAAGTTATTTAAGTTGTATATATTGCAAACAAATATATTAGAACAAGTAGTCATTGTTAAATTTAATAAGACTCCTTACTTTTTCATTAAGAGATTCAATTTTCATTATTATTTTTGTGATTTATGGTCTCTTAAAAAAATTAAAAAAAAAAAGTGGTTGAACCGGTTTGACCCACCTGTTCACCGGTTGAACCGGAAAATTGACCGGTTCAATCCGGTTTGAAACGGGTCGACTGCATAACCGATCTAACTTCAGATTTGAACTGGCTGAACCACCAGTTTCCAGTCCAACCGGTCCGACCGGCCGGGTCGGTCCGGGTTTTAAAACACCAGGGGATGTGCCTTGCGTACTGTATTCCTTAATTAACGCAACGATGAACGCTTAAAGCTGACCTAAGGGGAAAAAGCGACAATTCTGGAGTGTAGGGTAGAAAAAGTTGTCATTTATTAATAGTGATTGACATAGTTAATAAAATAGTAAAAATAATTTTACGAGGATCATAATGCTTGACTTATTGTCTTTTACTATTAAATTTATTAGTTAAATCACGGTCATATATATTTTTAATTTATAATACGAGAATCACATAGTATTACTCCATAAGTTAATTATTTTTAATTTTAATTTAATAGTATTTGATCTGGTTAAAATTAATGATAATAAATCACTATATATATAAATTAACTACAATATTTTTTTTAAACACTTCAACCTGCTTCACGTTCATTTTTATTTGAGTATTTTACTCACGAAAATTTTAACTTCACTCTCCTAACATAGTAATATTAATATATTTATTATTCAATATTTTCTTACCATAAACAATATAAATTTTATAATATTAAAACAAATAATATAACATTAGTGGTGTCTTAAAAAGTTAAAAAGAAAGAGCTAAAAAGGATATAAAGACAAAAATGATTATATTTTTATATTTATTATATAAAAGTATATTAAATAATAAATTATTAAATTTATTTACTATTTTTTTTATTTTCTTTGTATAAATTTATTATTTAATGTTTTTAAACTAGATTTAACATTATATTTTAATAATAATAAATTCAAACAATAATATTATATATAATACGATGTTCATATTATAATTTAAAAAGGTAGATGAGTTTGTGTTTTAAATGTTAAATTTCATAATAACAATTAAATGTTGTAATCCTCATAAAAAATCACTTTAACAATTTTCTAAATTTTATATATTATTGTCATGTTAGAATCTATGTCAACATTGCATGGTAGTCATGTCATTAGATAATTAACAAATAATACTGGAATTGAAAATTATTTATATCTCCAAAATATTATATAAATAATTTAATATTTATTAGATAAATATTACATTAATAAATATAATCTTAATAGTTTCTGTTTGTTAGCAAATGATAATTTCTTAAAAATATTTTTTACACATCTCATTTCAAGACCTAAAGATACAAAATATGTAATATGAAATTTTTTTATATTTTAAGAGTAAATCTATCTAAATTTATTATATTTAATAATTTATATTTTATATCAAATTTTAATAATCTAATATTAAATTAAGAATTATTAATATATAGATCAAGTTTATAAAGTTTTAAAAAATTTAAAAATTATTTGATATTCCATTTCATTAATTCAACTTAACAGATAATGATAAAAATAATTTATATAAATTTTTTATTTCACATTAATTAATTAATTTATCAACTAATTTTATTAAATACTTTCAATTAAATTATTTAATATATAAATTTTTAGTTTTTCAACTCTACTTAATAACATAAATTTTCAATGAAGTTATAAATAATTTTACTGTAGACGTTCCTTGTGAAAAATGACATCAACATAAGACACGTTTTATATAAGTTAATTTTACCATAGTCCATACAAAATAATATTGTTGGAGGAGAGTAAAGGTGTTATGAAAAAAAAATTCAGCTGATAACATAGAATTAGATTTTGTTTTTTTGTTTATGAAATTATATTATCTGAATCTGATATTGGTAAAAAGATGTGGGCATTTGAGGTTGCGGAGTAGAAGCAATACGTGAGACCAACTAACGAAAATACGAAAGATGTAGCAAAGGGTCCACCACATGCCTCTCCTATATATACAAATATTCTTCTACGGCGCTACGCCCAACATCAAAATTCTCTCATATGCAAATATCAATATTCTAATAATCTAATGAATTTTCTACATAATATTCGGACCAATATCACCATCAGAGCCAAAATAATTATAAATATTAATTTTGATTTTTTTATAAAGATAGAAAAGATTACAAAAATGATCTCAATAAAGATTGAATTTATGTAATCATATTTATAATTACTTCAACCTTTTTCCACCTAACCACTAGACTAACCCTAATGATCTTATTAATCTTGATTTAACAGTGAGAGTTTAAATAATAGTTATAAGATAAAAGCTTCAAACTCTTATTAAATTATAATTTATATTATTGTTCATAGTTAATACAATTTTTTTTTTTGGTTAAAACTTATTAAAATTGACAAACTTAGAAAAAAAATCTTTAATAAATAATATGCAAGATTTACAAATTTTTAGTGAATAAAAAAAAATCTTTATTAAATAATATGCAAGATTTACAAATATTTAGTCAATAAAAAAAGGAAAAAGAAGAAAATATGTTATGAATTAAGAACGTATAATAGCATCTAATTATAAAGTAGCATTAAAAGATGTTTGAATTTTATGAAAAATAAATAAAATAATGAATTATTAATTGATTGAATTGAAAGTGTAAAAAGATATAAAAAATGAAAGAGTATTAATATTTGGCGATTGGGTCGCACGGTGTGTGTTGCTGCATTGATTTTGCCCGCACGTAAGACGTAAGACGTTGGTGCGGCTCTCCTTTTTCCTTGTGTGTGTTTGGGGTGAGAAAACGAGAAGGGTCGGGAGAGAAAATAAAGTGAGAGAAGAAACGCAATGGGAGGTTGCGCCAGTAAGCCCAAGGTCGCCGAGGACAATCCCGATCAGAAAAGGCCCCAACCTCAACCTCAACCTCCGATTCCCAACAAATCACGCTCTCTCAGCCTTTTGTTCAACCAGGTATATGCTTCTTTCAACATTCAATCACTGCTTTCAAATCAATTCTCTTTTTTAAATACAAATAAATATAAATGCTCTTATGTAAATTTCACATTCAAATCAATTTAAATTTTAAATACACCTTTTAATTGCATATCATTATCAAAACATATTTTACCATTTAGTCTCAAACATCAATCATTGCAAATTAAAGGGGAAGGATGGAGTTTTATGGTACAGTACACATACACTATGGATGTGTTGTACTGCCAAATTAAAATAGGGTTCAGAAAATATCTTTTATCCTTATTTTTCTTACAAAAACCATACATCCTTCCAAAAGTTTTGTCGAAAAATTCTCCAAATGTTTATAATTTTAAAATAATAAAATTAAAATAATATTTTATTTTAAATATTTTACAAATATAAATGATTTAATGGTTCGGATGAAATCGGAAGTTTCATTCGGAACATGTACCATTACTTTACTGATTTGTTTATAATAATATTGGGTAGAATATAGATGTTATTAAATATAGGTCTTGAAATATTTGACAGGGTCTGAATTAAGCAATTGCCTTAATTTTATATATGGATTGAAATACCCTTTGACTCCCTTTTTTTAGTATTATGTTTTTTGTTTATAAAAAAAATAATGATATTTGATTTTTACTTTATTTTCTATATTCAAAATTTTAATGTTTGTACAAGAAATAATAAAAGTTATTTTCATTATTTTTTTTATTTTTTCAAAATAATAAATAAAGTGAAAATATTGTATTATTTGTTAATAATACATAAAGCATGTTTTTTTTTAAACAAATTTTGAAACTGTCCAAAAGCCTCTTCATAAAAATTTTTTTGTGTTCAGCATGACAGTTTTAACCGCTGTATGTAAGACAGTAAAATAATAAGGTTTATGATATATACACCTCATTTTTTCCATAAGTATACCTTTTTCTTAAAAAAAATAATTAAAATTTAAAATATTCTTATTTTTTTTTTAATTTTGTATTTTATATTTTTTAATTTTACATCACAATATTTAATTTGATATTTTTTTTATACATATTTTCTCTCCTTTTTTCAATTTTTACATGTACTCCTTTAACTTTCTTTTACCTCACCTATTTTGGTAGCATGTAAAAATTAAAAAAAAAAAAGTATGTGAAAAAAAAGAAGAAAGTAACAAATTGAAAGTTAAAAATATAAAATTAGAATTTTTTTGAAAAAAAAAACTATAATATTTTATAATTTAAAAAATAAATAAAGAAAGTGTACTTGCATATATCATGAGTCAAATAATAAAAGTCTCCACACCAAAAAAATTTACCCCAGCACACACACACAAAGAAACCTAAATAAACATGTGACATTCATCGGGTGATTTCTGAGGCAAAAATAAGCCCCTCTCGTTCACGTGGAGTTAAAAATAACTACTAGATAAATGGACAGCCATAATACACGAATTTAATCTCAACTATTCATATGTTTTAACTATATATCTAACAAATATTTTTAAACTTACATGAATAGAGAACTTTTGACCCCTCACCTTATAATTCACTCTCTCAGTGTCACTCTCATTCTACAAATTTGACATTTTTTTTGTCTTTGTTTTGTATTGAGTTTTTTTTTATATTTTTTTTTATTGTTAAAAATGACCAATTTTAGTCTTTCTTAATGTGATGAATGAGTATCAATTATTGATGTCGTGTGATATGATTTGCTTATGTTATTGTTAGTAAATATAATTAATACATTATTCAAATTTTTGAATGTATACCGTTTAAAGTAAAATTTGGAAGCACATCTTCATCTGCCCATCAACTCTTCTGCATTATTATTTAAGTTACTCGACACAACCTCTTGAATTGAAGCATAATTTGTCAGAACCAAAAAAATTATTACTAAAACTACTGCATGATAATGCAATAACCCAATTTATGAATTTATTTCAATAAGTTTCAGATTTAAGATCATAAGCAATTTTTTATCTTACAATCTTTTTATCAAGTAAATGCTTGACTTATTCATATACCAATATACCCCCAAAATCTATTGATTTTTTTTAAAAGAAAAAAAGTTAACAAAATTTTTAGCTTTTATCTCATGAATGTGATTACTTCTTGCCGTGGAAGTTTGGAACATGAATCCTACTTGATCGTTATCAACCGAACTAAAAAATGAGAAAACCACTAATGCCATATTGCCATTCATTAGCACTTTCTGTCTTTCTGATGTTTTCTGGTTTATAATTTTGTGTGTGGCAGAATGAAGATACAAATGCTTCCACAGAAAACGAGAAAACCACAGTGGAGGATACTAAAATCAATGTGCCAGCAGTTAAACCAGAATCTCCAAAGCCAGAGGAGAAACTGTCTGAGGAAAGTAAAAACAATGAATTACCAAAACAAGAATACGAGACTTTGAAGACAGAAACATCACAAGCTGAGAAACCTTCAGATGAAACTCGTATCAATGAACGGGCCAACGAAACAGTGATTGAGTCACAAGCTGAGAAGCCTTCAGAGGAAATTTATATCAATGAACCAGCTGAGAAAACAGTGAAATTAGAGGTACCAGCTGAAAAACCTTTAGAGGAAACTTACATCAATGAACCAGCTGAGAAAACAGTGAAATTAGAGGTAAAAGCTGAGAAACCTTTGGAGGAAACTTATATCAATGAACCAACTAAGGAAACAGTGAGACCAGCATCAGGTGCTGAGAAACCTTTGGTGGAAACACACATCAATGAATCAGCTAAGGAAACAGTGAAACCAAGATCAGAAGTTGAGAAGCCTTTAGAGGTAACTCACATCAATGAACCAGCTAAGGAAACACTGAAACCAAAGCCAGAAGCTGAGAAACTTTTTACAGAATCTCGTATCAATGAACTAGTTGAGGAAACAGCGAAACCCAACTCAGAAGATGAAAAACCTTTAGTGGAAACTCACATCAATGATCCGGCTAGCGAAACAGTGAAACCAAAGTCCGTAGCTGAGAAACCTTTAGAGAAAACTCAAATCAAAGAACCAGCTAAGGAAACAGTGAAACTAAAGTCAGAAGCTAAGGAACCTTCAAAAGAAACTCATATCATTGACTTAGCTGAGAAAGTTGTGAAACTAAAGTTAGAAGCTGAGAAACACTCAAAGGAAACTCATATCAATGAACTAGCTAAGGAAATATTGAAACCAAAGTCAGAGGCCGAGAAACCTTCACAAGAAACTCATATCAATGAACTAGTTGAGGAAGCAGTGAAACCCAAGTCAGAAGCTGAGAAACCTTTTGTGGAAACTCACGTCAATGAACCAACGAAGGAAACAGTGAAACCAAAGTCCGAAGTTGAGAAACCTTTAGTGGAAACTCGTATCAAAGAACCAGCTAAGGAAACGGTGAAACCAAAGTCAGAGGCTGAAAAACCTTTAGGGGAATTTTACATCAATGCACCAGCTAAGGAAACAGTGAAACCAAAGTCAGAATTTGAGAAACTTACAGAAGTAACTCATATCAAGGAACCAGCTGAGGAAACAGTGAAACTAGAGTCAAAAGCTGAAAAATCTTTAGAGAATACTCATGTCAATGAATCAGCAAAGGAAACACTAGAACCAGAGCCAACAGCTGAGAAATCTTCAAAGGAAAACAATCAAAGCAGCCAGCCACTGAAAGAAGAACATGTAGGAGTCAAGAAGACATCTTCAGTGGAAACACAAAGCAATGAGCCCATCAAACACAAAGAGCCTATTGTACCATCAGAAGCAGGAAAGCCATGGGGGGAATTCGAAAAGAATGAGTTGCAAGCTAAAAAATCTCCGGTTCCCATTGCAGATAGTATAGACACAAAGGTGGATCCTTTTCCTAAGGAGATATTAACTAAAGTAGTTCCAGCAGATGCAAAGCCTGTGGAGAAGATAAAAAAGGAAACTACATCAAGCATAGAAGAGAAAAGCCATATTGGGATGGAGGATGCATCCAGGGCTACTGATGCTGGCAGTGTGATAAATGATAATCATTAAAACCTGAAATATGAATCGAACCATGAACAATTCGAAACATTGCAGAGTTTCAGATTGTTCTCTGGTTCGTGTCAAACAAACTGTTGTGTGAGATTTTCCAACTACATTTTCCTATTATTATTATTATTATCATAATTATTATTATTATAATTATTATTATTTCATATTTAGTTTGAAGAACCGAATTTTGTTCCTGTCAAGTCACTTATTTTTCTATCCTATTATTGTTGATCTGTACTGGTATTTGGTAGGTTAAATTCACCAATGTAAATTTCAATTTCGTTGTGATCTGCGAGTGGGAATTTTGAGGAGCTCAATCTTTTTTTCTTTCTTTCTGATATTATGGTCATGTAATTTATGCAACACTACATGCACTGGGCGAATGTTACATTAATCAAGATGCACATGCAGTTGATTTTGTAAAATACTTTTTTTTAGTGACATGGATAGATGGGAAGAGATTTTCTGAAATCGAAAAAAAAAGAAGATATTTACATGTGTTTAGATTTTATCATTAAATCTTTTAAATCTCCATCTTATAATAAATATTATATTCATTCCTTTTGTTTTGAATGATTAGCAGTAATTCTGGAGTAAAAAAAGAATAGTAAATAAAAGTATATTTAGAAGAAAAATAATTAATGAGACTTGAAATTTTTATAACAATAATTTTTTTAAAAAGCTAAAATATAAATAGTTTTAGACAGGAGGAAGTATTATATATATAAAAAAAAAAAATTACTTTGATTTGCTTATGTTCAAATACAGACTTTTACGCCACAAAAATACCGTATCCACGTATTCTCTCTCTCCAACACCCTATAGATCACAGCTTCAACTGGTAGTTGTTAAGAAGATTATAAACAAGGAGTTGAATTTCTGCTGTCTTTAGTGTTCATATAGCTAAAGCCAAAATCTTGGGCTTTCCATAATTGAAAAAAAATGTCAGAAATAGTATTGTTAGATAATTCATTAAAAAATTATATACATATATATATATATAATATCCTTGAGCGTGAAAAAGTAGAAGCAATCTAAATAATCCTCCTATAAAAAATAAAACTAGCGTAAAAAATAGTCCGTGCTTCTGTGTAAATAAAAAAATAATAATTAAAGAGTTTAAATGATTTTGAATAGTTATAAAAATAAAACAATTATTTATGAATAATTTAAAAAGTGAGAAAATACAAAAAATAAAATTAAGATTAAATTTATCTACATAAAAATAGGTATCACTTTTATCAATAGTATATATGCATTTGTTAGTGAAACTAAATCATGTGTATTACATTTTAATCCTTATAAGGTGAGGTAACGATGGCTGTAAATATTATTATTCAACGACAAACATGAATAGGCATTCTTATGTTCAAAAATAATATGAGCAAACATTGCTCACAATCACATTTGTTTTAATCAATCTAAACGGGTTGATAATATATTAGGACATGGCAGCTAGGTTTGCAACTCTTAACATTTTCAATTTGTATTTGTTTTTGTTACTTTCTTGACCCCAGTTAATTAGGATTCAATTTTTTTTTCATTGCTACAACTATTTTAATTTTCTTAACCAACGCTTCAAAGTTTATTGTAACCTCTACGTTATATACTTTTTCTGTTCTATCGAAGAAGGCCACGATTCCACCTTAAAATTGATAATCTATGTACGTCACTAAATTTTGCATACAATTAGAATAATAAAGTTCTACGTCATGATATTTGTAGCCTGGTTATAAAATGATGTAATTAAAAAATAAAAATACAAGCAACATATTAGATAATTCTACTCTCTACAATGCGATTATTTTTTCTATTCAATGTGTTTCAATTATTCTAACATGATGTGAACAACTTATAATATATAATTGCATTTTTTATGTCTTTCTTTGGTTGTTTATTATTATTATTATTATTTAAAACAATTTGGCAAAGAAGCTTATTAATTTACCCATGAAGATGAAGAAGATGAACTACACATTTTAACTCACATCTTTTAAGTACGCCAATAATCCATTCCAAATCACTTTTGATGGATGATATAGTAGGGTAGACTATTTATTTTTTTATTTTTTTATTTTTTTTATTTCTATTAATAAGAAATATTATAAAGATAGTGATGAGGATGGAACCTAGTCCTCACACTCTTTCTTTTAT